GTATTAAAGTTTTGAAATTTCACTGTCTCAACTTTAAGTTTTGCAAATATCTTTCTTGAATTTCTGGGCAGTCTATTCTACAACACTATTTTCTTCATTTTTTCAACGCAATCGTTTGCACAAATAATAAAAAGTTTGCAAAAAATCGTCGAGCAATGTTACCAATGCATATTTTAGTAACGAATCTCACTCTGTATATCATGAGAAATTATAAAATTACTCTTACCAAAAACAAATTAGAGCTCATGAGTTTCAGGATCTGGCATCTATATATGTTATATAGATGGACGATCTTCTATCTCTCTTTTAGATATATAGTTAGTTAGTTTTTATCTTACTGTTGAGGATGGAGATTTATCTATGTATGGTAATTTAAGGTCGATCTTTTAATGTAAAGCTTTTGTTGTTATATGATTTGTTTTGTTTTTTTTTTCTTTATTTTTGTGAAAGATTTAGGTTCTTCTTCCATTATTTTAATCAAAGATTTACGGAACCTGACATCGAGAACTGATTCTCGAAAAGTGAAAGAAAAATATTTCTGAAACCTAATCAGCAGTGATGAATTGATTTTAATGCATTCCTAGTCATTTAAAACTTGCCAATACGTTAGAAAAAAAAAGACGAAAAGCAATAAAAGACTCTTGATGAGATGCAATCAAACAGAGAGAAAGAAAGAAAGAAAAACATAATCTTGTTTTTTTTTTTTGACTATTCATTTGTTTACACATTCTATGAATAAACAAATGGCAACTAAATTAAAAGCATCTAAAAATATGTTTTTTTTTCTTTGTTTTCAATGTACTTTATTTGTTAATCAGTTTTGATCGTGATATTTGTAGTTTAGAAAAAATTCAATATAGCAATGTGACCACGAATCAATGCAAAGGTAATCAACAACTTTTTTCGCACGAGAAACTTTCATATTTGCAAAGATATCAAGGATATACCTAGATAATAGTGTCATGTTTTTATTCTTATGGTAGAAAAATAAAAAGATAGATTCTGCCGTTCATAGGAGAAGAAATAACAAAATATAAACAACAACTGTTTTAACTAGAGTGAGAATGATAGTATATTCATACTGCCAACATCATCTATCGTCTTCTAGCATTACAAAGATTTATGTATATGTGAGAGTAAAACTTAATAGACTAATGTCATATGTATACTGATCACTTCTATTCGTTGCTGAATTTACAAGTGAGACATAAATCAATAGACAAGCAAATATTCGTTCTATTGAATAAAAGTCAATCATATTTCTTTAGTTTTGTTTATATTCATCTTATAGGTTTTTCTTTATTGTACTCTTAGCTTTCTCGTATGTTCGTTGTTGCTTTCGTATTGGCTGTTTCAATGAATTATCAATGATGCATAATATCGTATTTTTGCACAATAATTCTCAAGAAACGTGACAAAATATAGCAACATAGGTACGATCTAGATATCGATAGTTCGAAGAAGTTTACAGAATTCAAGATACATATGGGTATGGCCAGCTAACTCTGCTACCGGAGTGAAATTCCGTAACGTTTTTCGCTTATTTTGTTTCCTCGATAAATATCAGGCAGTAGCACGTAAAGAGTTGCGAGACGTCTTAAATTAAAGAGAAAAGTCTTGTACATATTCTAAGATATTTTTCGCTTTTGGAACGTTTGTCGTTTCCAAGATATAATTAAAAAACTGATAACTACTTTTCAATTCTGAAAATTATTACTTTTTCAAAAGTGGTGTTCAATTCTTTTGTTACATCTTGGAAACGACAAATGTTCCAAAAGCGAAAAATATCTTAAAATATGTACAAGACTTTTCTCTTTAATTTAAGACGTCTCGCAACTCTTCACGTGCTACTGCCTGATATTTATCGAGAAAACAAAATAAGCGAAAAACGTTACGGAATTTCACTCCGGTAGCAGAGTTAGTTGGCCATACCCATATGCAACTTGAAAATCTGTGACTTCAACCTATCATAAAATTCAAGAAAATAGAGCAGAAATGGATGTGTGAGCGTAAGTGTGAGTGTTGTTCCGAATTTTCACAGTCACTAATTATGATTGTTTCATAACATTCAAGACTTTTCAATTGTTTCACAAGTTGTATCTGGACACGTTATCTTTGCAATTAGTCGTCTGCTTAACGGCTCAAGGTTGATTGGCAACTTTCTAACCAACAACAAAACATTTCAGCCATTTCACACCTGATTACAGCAATCGCTACGATGTTTCATATGATTTTCATGCCTGTCCTATCACACTCACTAGTAATGACAATTACTCAATGAATTACACAATCAAATCCATCAATTGATTCCTCTGAGGAGTCATGATCGTAAAGAAATCTGATTTTAAACAACATACTGCTAGCACTTCTTATATAATTACGAGATCAGACAGCTATTGTTTTGTTTATTCATAAGAAAAAAAAATTCGAAATTTAAGTGTAATGCTCTCCTGTATGCAAATATTAGTATATATTTTCTCATTCGAAAAAACAAAACGCAAAAAACGACAAAAAAAAGAGAAAAAACATCGAAAGAACGAAATACATGTGATGAAGAGCGCATTAATGAGAAAAAAAACTACCTACGTGATGAACATGACGTGTTTTATTGATTCACATAAACAACGTAAGTGGGGAAAAAAATCAAGTAACTTCGTCATTGATAAGTACGAAGCAAAATTGTTTGTTAGCATACATAACAAAATTCGCACAGATCCATATCATTGATTAAGTGAGTATATTTAATTTTTTACATTGTCAGACTAGTGGTAAAATAAAACTGAATGTCAAGAGTTGCTACGAATAATAGAATTGATGGAACATGGCAATGAGTAGGAATGTCATTTTCTTGTTGATTTAAAATAAGTATAAATTATAACAAAATTTATTTTATTTTAAATACAAACTATTTGTGGTTAGTTTATAATTTATTAAAGTATTAATTAAATTACATTAAATTGTTGTATTTCTTTTTCATATTTCGTCGAAGTCATACGAACAAGGGCAAAAAAATGTGTAAAAGCCCATTGAAATCTGAACAAAAATGAAATAGTAAAAAGCGCACATGTACATGTGTTCATAACGCCTTCGACTTGTCACCAGATAGATATCTGTTTCAGAAGTTTAACGTGTTATGAACATGTAAAGATGTATACACTTTTCACAAGTTGATAGTGGATGCATATTTTACGCGTTTTGTTTTCGCTGTTCGTCTGAGTACGATAAAATATCAAAAAGAAATAGAATTATTGTATTTTATGTATAATTTAATACAGTATAAATTAAGTGCAAACTATTTAAATTTAGAATAAATTAAATTGTCTACAATTTCAATTTATTTTTAAGTAACAGGAAAATACTATACCTACAGTAGACTTTTTCACCGATGTAGAAACACTTCAAAAAGCTATTTGAATCACGACGAACTGAATCGAAACCGAAGATATTGAATATCAAACGAAAGGCCTTTATTCGCAGAATAAGAGAAGCATCACGATTTTTCAAATGTAGCACATAAGAAAACATTTCGCTAAAGATAGCCCATTTGTTCCTCTCTACGAGTACCCACTAAAGAGTGTTTCGTCAGTTGACATATTTCTCATGCTAGAAAAGAATCTCTTGTAAGCTAGCACGAGTAATAAAACGTGGTGTAAGAAAAGCATTTAGGTCGATGAGATCGGTCTGATTTTTCTTATTCATAAGTTATTACCTAATTGCAAATCAATCAGGAATGGTAATATGAGAGGCATTCATAGGAATTGCATTTCTTTCTAGGAGAAGCTAACAGAAGCTATCTGCTACTCTAACATCTTTATGTGAATGATATTTTGAGAGAGAAGATTTTAATGCTTCATTCTCGTTTATATGCTGTATATTATTTTCTAATCAAGTTCTGCAATGCAATAATCTCCAATAATTGCCATCTAGCGGATGTGGCAGAAAGAATGAATCTCAGTATTGTCACAATAACTTCTTCAATTTTCTTCTTTTCAAGAGAAGCGTGTTTCCTAGATCTACTCTACAACTCTATCCTAGACGTGTGTCGAAAGCTTTTCTGAAGAAATCTGACAACTGAAATTCAGCTGGAAAATTCAACATGTCAAAAAGAGCAATTTTTCCACGTCTTTTCGAACATGAGTTTCAGAATATCTTTTACAACAGTAGGGTGTGGTTGTCGTTTTGGATGTTACTATGTATCTTCTCTTCACGTACATCAACATCCTATCCAGCACGATAACAGTCAAGTCACAGTGGAGATGAAAAGCAGAGAAAAGTTGGAAAAAAATGAGAATACACCAAAAAGTGTCTGTATTTTGATTTAGGCTTATACAAATCGCATGAAACTTTCAGAATATGTTGAGACTATAGTAAAATTATTAGACCTATAACATGATATTTGCGGAATATATTCAACAAATAAAGATCAACAACGGCTTATCTGGCGACCAAAAAATTCTCTGTGGCTCTTCATTCTATACATTGAATGTTTTCGTATGAACGAGTATGTCAGGATGCATTGCATGGCAGAGCTCCTTTTTCGTAAATTTTCACCTTTTGAAGCAGAGAATAGCGATGACAGGTCAGTAACACAATAGAGTACCATGTTTTTCGGAGTTTTTTTGAAAACGAAATTATAATGTCTTTACTCCACTTAAAAAGTAAGAGTTACAAAAAAAAGGTTCTGCAATGCCCTGTCTCCTGACATGTTCTTTTCAACAAAGAAATCAAATGTACAGAAAGAAGATTCCTATAGCCTCGCCACTGAAGTCCTAATATATTCTGAAAGTTTTATGCAGTTGGCACGTGTCTGAACCAAAGATGGTTTTAGGAAATTGTAGGAGGTCCTTGAATTGTCCGGATATTTTTTTGGAGTACTTGCATATGGAGTGCTGCATTGGTTGTCTACACAGCAATTAGTTTTTTAGAACATACCAATGACGAAATTCTACATCATTTTACAATTAATCATCTCATCTGTGGTGATCGAGAGAAGTAGAGCTATGTCGAGTCCTGTAGCACCTTTCACCACATACAAACATTCGGTTGAACTGCAGAAAAATGTAGCCGTTCTCTGGTGGACAGTCGATGACAATGAACGAGAGATCACATTCGAATTACACATCAATACAATAGGCTGGATAGCATTGGGTATTAGTTCAGGTAAGTTTTTTGTTTCTATTCAATGTTCAAATCTTCATTCACGAGCTGACTATTTTCAGCGGGCGGCATGAAAGGTGCTGACATCGGTGTAGGATGGGTTGACCAGAAAGGCAGTGTATATATTCAAGTAAAAAAGAACTTATCTAAGTTGTAGTATGTGATCTAACTTGTTTTTCTCAAGGATCGCTATGCATTCGCCAATGAACGTTCTATGGTTGATAATACCACGATTGATTGGTTTGCTCTTCAAGGTCGTGAAGTGAATGGATGGACAGCCATTCAATTCAAACGTTTGCTAGACACTTGTGATCTCATGGATGTTCCAATCAAGGTAATTTGATATGTCTTGAAATGGAAAAGTCGCTTCGACTACTGAGCGATTAATGGTGAGAATTACGATCAAACCTATGTAAATCGAACTTGCAAAAGTTGCGAGTAAAACTACTATTGACTATGCCAGATAACGTACAGCTAGTTTGTTTCGGTGGCTTTTCTTGCGAAAAAATGATCAGGTTAGGCTTCCAAAAAACTGCACGAATAGGTGATGATAGGATTTAATGGCAATTGAAACACGCGACAATCCTGAATTTGTGAACTTGCAAATATCTGAATTTAGGTTTCGACGTGCCAAGCTATTGAGTCGAAGTCATACGATTCACTAGTTTGACAAGATCGTTCGAATCAGAACGATTTTCCAATGTGTACACTACTCGATAATCTAGCTTTTTTCGATATCTTCATGGCCTCTGTTGAGTGCAAATATAGTTTCGAGTAGTAAATACAATTTTTTTTCAGTAGAAATCAATCGCTTTGTTCAATTCTAAGTATATAATTTATCAATATTTAGTCTGGTATCAATAATCTTATTTTTGCTTATGGTCTTGCCGATCCTACTCCGTCAGAATCAAATGATGAAATCTCTTATCATGAAAATCGGCGTGGTTCACGTACTCTTTCTCTTCGATCATATGCTGATCCACCAACTGAAGACATATTTGCTGGACTTGACTACTTCGATTTTTGTTTGAATAATGCATGTCACATTTCAATGTCTTATTAAAGTTATTATTCTTTACATGGATTCGATCTTTTTTTTCAGTATGTCGTTCCATCAACAGAGACAACACATCATTGTAAAATATACAAAGCTCCGAGTAATTATTCAGTGAAACGACACGCTGTTGGTGTACGTATCAGTTTCTTAAAATAAGTTTAATTTTTGTCTTCTTTTTTTTTTTACATAGCATAAGATAATTGTTGATGCCGCCAATCAAGATCTTGTCCATCATCTACTGATGTATGAATGTGACCCAACAGCTCAATTTGATGATAATAATTTGCCTGACGATTTGTGTGATGCAATTTATCAACAAACAGCATCGTGTGCATATAATGGTGCCATTGTCTGGGATGTCGGTGGTAATGATGTAAGATCAAAATTATTTTCCGAAATAAGAAATATAAACAAAAGAAAGCTATTTTAAATAGATGGTTGCATTTCCAGAAGAAGCTGGCTATCCAATGGGTGGTGATTTTCCCATCAAATATTATATGGTTCAAATACACTATCACAATCCCAATCAACTTTCGAGTATGAAATTTGATTGATATGGAATGAAAATTGATGCATGATGTTCGATATTTTACTTAGATCGCACGGACAGTTCAGGTATTCGCCTTTATATCGGTAAAGAACTTCGTCAATATGATCTTGGCTATTTGACTTTGGGCACTATTTCAACGCCGCGCGCTCTGGCCATTCCACCGAAAGTAGAACGATTTATCATTGATTCGTACTGTTCGGCGACTGCTACGATGGTAAATATGATTCTTTGTCTATATCTCATCTAAAAAATTCATTATGGACACTGCTGTAGAACTTTCCGGAAGAAGGAATTACAATTGTTTCTGCTTTTCCACATATGCATTCGCATGGTAAGTTTTCAATAACAAATAGAGAATAGATCTGTCGGCAACGACAAAGATTTTCCTAGGTCGATCAGTATGGACAAAACTGATTCGAAATAAAACAGCTTTACAATATTTATTCGACACAGAAGAGTATGATTCCAATTATCAATATGAAAACCGTTTATCACAACCGATCAAATTATACCGAGTAAGATCTAATCGGATTGTTTTCCATTCGAGAATCGTTATTTCTTTCGTAGGGTGACGAACTTGCGACAAGATGTATCTACAATACTATGAACAAGGATACGATCACTTTGGTAAGAAAGACTCAATAAGAAACTGCTTTTTATTACACAGCAAAACACAACTAGGAATTCGATTGATTTTTCAGGGTGGTGAAAGAGCCGAAGATGAAATGTGTCGTCATGTAATGAAATACTATCCTCGAGTGAATAATATGTATAATTGTGTGATGATGAATAGTCCACAAATATGGAACTCAATGATGAACACTTCTTCGTCAGTTTATTTACATCAAAAATTTATTCTTAGTCTTATTGATGTGTATTTAGATCATCTTTCAATGATTCCATATTAATGGAATGGCTTCTTAATCTGACATGGACATCAGAGCGAGCTGTTCAATGGCAAGAATTCTACAATATGGCATCTCGTGTACTCCTCTACGGTGCATCACCAAATCTGCAGTACAGCTTTATGACCAGCTTACCCAAATATCAAGATTTGAAGCTGATCACATGCACAAAAGCCCAAACCGTTAATCAAACTACTTCTAGCCAAACAATAAAGATGAATGAATCTATGTCATATACTTCACGAATTCGTCAAAACATAAAGATTACATTAATAGCGGTAGCTGTTATCCTCGTGATATGTATACTTATTTATTTGATGAAAAAGCCGACGCTTGGTCGATTCACTCGATTTTATCAAGAAGATGACGATAACTGAGCTTATTACACATTTCATATATATATATACGAACTATACGATGAATCATTATATGTCTAATGTTTCTATCTTCACTTTAGGTTTTGTCTTCCGAGTTCTTCAGGATGAATTATAAGAGGCATGGATGAAATAGTCTTATTGAGTTCACGTTGTTTTGCCACAGTATGTAGTGATTCACGCACACATCATTAGTACCACTTAAGATCTTTTGTTATTATTTTCGAATCATTCCAGTTAATATCATGATTGACATTCAATTGCATGCTGATGTATTGCTGAATTTTTATTAATCAATTCTTCAACGATCGCTGTTGTATTAGATCGATAATTAACTACTTTTCCTATATTTCAAGTTGATCTTCGTACTGCGTCAGATGTTGTAGTAGTTTGAATTTGTGCTGGAGAAGTTAGTGTCAAAGATGCAGTTGTAACAAGAAGGGCATCGTGTTCTTTCTGTCGTTTGGATACCTGACATACTGTTTTTCCTATATAGATTGCGTTGCAATCACGGCACTTAATGTGATATACAATCCTTGACTGGAGATTCTTAGGAACTGAAGCATTTAGAGGGAAATAATCACCAGTTGTGGGTGTGGGTGGGTGCCCAGTCAAGTGAATAATGAAGAAATGGTCATTAAAATGCCTTATTACTTGTAGCTAGACCATTTCCGACCATTAAAATGCGCCTTTTCAAATCAATAATGGTGAAATGATCATTAAAACGAATAATAATTCATTAATGAATAATTTTGACCATTTCACAATTTCAGACTCTGTTTTTTCGGAGTTTCAAACTGATTTTTAAAATGCTTATAACTTCAAAGATTTATATGAATTATTAATGTTTGCTTATCCAACCTTTTTTTTGACGAAACAGTCAAAATCATTCTTGTAAACTTAACCGCTTAAACGTCTATTGAAGTATGTAACTCTGATGAAATTACACTTAATAGTAGCCGAAAAGCCATTTTTTTGTATGATATTGATAGTCGGTTTAGAATCCTCGAATCGAAAAGGGTCTTTTTCTTTATAATAGTGCTAAATTTATGTTTTTTAATAAACATTGAATGTCTGTAATTGACAGCGTCATCATCTTTTTTTCAAAAGAAGATAGATCTCATTTGTTTTTGAGATAAGCTGTATATCTTAGGTGACTAACCTAAACTTGCTTCTTTTGTCTCAAAAGACCTATCGAAATAACAGTGCAAAATGATTTAAGACGTCTAATTTCCTGTATATCAAAGGAAAACAACTGGACTTTAATTAAAATTGGATATCAACAAAATCAAAGTAGATCTCTCTTGTAAAATGACGTTGAATGATTAGAATTTAGGCAAAAAATTATATTTTCCAATGTAAATCACATTATGATGTAAACAACTAAAAGATATCACATTCTGTTGAAATCAAGTGTAGTCCTTATTATTCATATTGTTATTTTCGTTTGCTTGGCTAAAGTAATGGCATAGATCGAAGTAGACAGATTTTATTTTATGTGTTGAAGTCTTTGTAAAAAAGACAGGATGCATAATTTACCTCACATTAATCTAACAATCTATAGAAAATTATACAAAGGTTGTTTTTTAAATGACATTATAAAAAATGCTCTCGAATTTTACATGATACCGTTGATAATAACGAATACTTAAGAATATTAATATAAACTTATCGATTTATTTGACTTTTTTTTACAAAAGTTTTCATCAATTGAACAAATATATTTAGTTCTTTCTACAGAGATATTTCTATACTAGTCGATTACTTAAATATGTTGTGCGCACTATTATAGCGTTTTCTGTAATAATATAATACAGATCTTTATATACATCGCTAATTGACACATCAGGTCCGACTATAGTACAGTATTCTCTTCTCTCATTCTACTCTCTTTTCAAAAAAAGAATATTCAGTAGCATATGTGAAAGTAACTATGTTTTACTCTATCTATTTCATGTACTGTCATTTTAATTATTTGTTTCTTTAGGTTGTGTGAGTTCTGTCTTGAGTAATACTGACATCTTGACTTTCTGATTGCAACAGCCGCAATAAAGGCATTTTCATTTTTTTTTCTCATAAAATTCCTTAATCCTTTCAACGTGTTAAATGATATCATCGTTTCACTGATTCACAAATTAATACCCTGTCTTCATGTTCAAAAATTGTAAGAAATTCAAGGAATATTGTGACACTTCATAATATAAAATGAAAAGTACGTTTTTGTATCTAATGGAAATATGAGAAAACACCCAACCACCCACACTCAATCCCTTCTCTGGTTACGTCCCTCGTCGTCTGTCATGGTCTGTGGCGGAGAGGGGAAGTGCAAATTTCTTTCCTATATACTTCAACATTCCTTGTAGATTGTGTCACACAAAAATATCAGAACGACATTCATTCTCTTTCATCTTCATATAACCGATTGGTCATTTTTCTCTCTTCTAGGCAAACAGTGCAACTATAAAGAAATGAAACGAAGATAATCCACTGTCATGTAATGAATTATCATGTTTGCGTTCTTATTATGATATTAACAAGGCAAAACTCTGAAGAATGAGATTTAATGACTTTTTTCTTCATGCCATCAAACTAGAAGACGAATGGATAAATATCGTAGGGAAAAACAAACATCTATATATGTAGACGTCAGTGGTATATTGAAATTATTGTTAGCAAGAAAAAAAGAGATGAATCTGCATCGAAATGATGCCATGAAAGTAATATTCGTTGTTTTCCTATTTGTATCATAATTCTCGTTATTGTATGGGATCGAGTGCTACTTATTTTCAGCTTGTGTCTCGAACACAGTCATACAGATAGAAAATAGCTAGTTGGAAAAGAGAAGAAAAAGATCGCATCTAATTCGAACACATGTAGTGATGACTATAAATGATTGAAAGGATACAATATCACATCTATATGTCATCATCAAGAAAAACAATTGTAACCAGTCAAGACTTTCTAAATCGTTTTTCTTATGACGTGTAACGAATGAAAGAACGATAATGATGGAAGAAAAATGAGTTGATTGAGAGATATTTGTATTGATGCCATCCTCCTAAGTCGAATTTTTTTTTCATGTGCGTGAAGTACTTGAGTATCTTGGACAAGGAAGTCATCTGATATGAACACATCTTAAAGAAAGATTTGAAACCTTCTAATGACCTCAAGCACTTGACCTGCTTGTTTCATCAGTCGATATTTACTCGAAATTCATTTTATTTGTCAAATAAATATTATTCGACGACAAGACATATCTTCGAAAATAATACTTGTCGTGATTCAATAGCTATTAATGAATGTTGATCATATGTACGTTCACAATTAACATATTTATTGCAAAATTTTAGTCAACCACTTTATTTTAATGAACTTATTAAAGATCTGACAGGAAAATTCCATGCTGAACAACAATTGAATGAACTTGAAGTGTTCATTGAATAGGCAACAGATAAATTGAGATCAATGCTTTGTTTTGTCTCTAGTATTTTCAAGACAGAATTGTGGTTTTCAAACGATAGAACAATTAAAAATTATCTTTCATCAAGAACTTCCAAATTTAGAAAGTTTCATTCTCCATGGAATTCTGATTTGATCTCTCCACTGTATCTTAACGCTAGCAACATTATTTGTTTTCCAAAAAGAAAGATTTATTCGAGAAGATGAAAAAATACGAGGCATATGA